TGAGTATAGAAGAAATAATAGCACTGCTATAAGAGATGGTCATTGAGGTGCTATTCATTTTGCAACTTTTATAAAAAAAAAAAAACTTTTAATCTGATTTGCTTCAACCATTGTTTGGGTTTTAAGGTAATTTACTTCCATTTGGTGTTCTGCTGAGAAGTTGAGGAAACTTTTAATTGCATTTATCAAAAGGATCATTGAGAACTATACTTTTGAATAGTTTATTTATATTGTTTTATCTCATGTAATCATATAAGTCCTTGCTGTATATATATGTTAGTATAACTTTAGTAGATGATTTTAATAATGGTATGGAGTAATTAAATTAATGATTAACAAGGTGATCTATGACTCTTTTACATGATCTCATATTGATAGTGATTATTAGCTGATTTCTCAGAATCCTACACAATATTATACCTTTTTAAATACAGAAAGGAAAATTTTAAAAAGGTCTTCATGAATCTTATCCCACTATGTTGATAATGGCAACTGGTTAATGTTTTCACAGTGTATTTAATGTCATATTTTTTTTGTTCCAGGTTGTGCACAGGGACCTAAAACCCTCAAATATAATGTATGCAGACATCTCAGGAAGTCCAGAATCCTTAAGGATATGTGACTTTGGATTTGCAAAGCAGCTCCGTGCAGAGAATGGCCTGCTCATGACACCCTGTTATACAGCAAACTTTGTGGCTCCAGAGGTATTAAAAAAGCAAGGATATGATGCAGCCTGCGATATATGGAGTTTGGGAGTCCTCCTCTACACAATGTTGGCCGGGTAAGTAGCTCTTTCATTTTTAGTTACTCATTTTAGGAAGAACTTAAGATGTTGTTATTGCAGTGCCAGTATACATTGTTGTTAATTTGAGGTATGTCTTGTCATGAGAGCAGAGTGATGGGAATGGATTCAGGCCTGGTTATTTGTCCTTTAGCGTGCAAGCTTGTGAATTGCTAAACTCGTACGGCTGTTTTGGAAAATAGTTTTAGTCTGTTACTGTCACAAGTTTGTAAAGGCATTGTAAATCATTTACTAAAACAAAGGAGGAGAATTGGGTAATTGATAAAAAATATCTGTCAATGAACAAAACCTCTGAAGTTATTAATGATGTATCAAAGAACTATAATGATATAAATGATCAAGGTCCCTCTCACTGAATGAAAAGAATTTTTTAGCAGAGCCTCAATTTATGTAAAAGTGGCATCAAAGTGAGCAAGAATTATCACCCGTCTTAAATGGCCAGGCCTGAGATTCCTGTGTGACTGGGATAGAATGGGCTGAATTGGTGGGATACCGGAAAAGATGAATTGCCTTCCTCGAAAATCGTACAATGTTTTGCATGTGGACAAAAACATTGAATTGTCTCTTTACGATCCCTGAGTGTAAAAACTTTGTATTGGGTTACTTGAATTGAAGACAATGATATTCACATTATCTCTGATGCCACATTTAGGCCTTATTGATTTTGTGGTGAATATGTTTTTAATACTTTGGGTAGAGTGTTCTAAGATAGGTATAACAGGTGAATATGCCGTTGGTGTCGTATATAAAGGCATAAAGATTGCTGTTGTAGTGTGGGGTGTGTATTTACCTGCTTTTGAATTCCTTTCTCTTTGCTCAATAAAGCTGTTGTTTCTTCTTTCCTTCTGTCTTTCCGTAGTTCCCTTCCTTCCTTCCTTCCTTCCTTCCTTCCTTCCTTCCTTCCTTCCTTCCTTCTTTTCTACCTTCCTTCCTTCTTTTCTACCTTCCTTCTTTCCTTCTTCCTTCTTTCCTTCTTCCTTCCTTCTTTCCTTCTTTCTTCCTTCCTTCTTTTCTACCTTCCTTTATTCCTTTCTTCCTTCCTTCCTTCCTTCTTTTCTACCTTCCTTCTTTCCTTCTTCCTTCTTTTCTACCTTCCTTCCTTCCTTCCTTCCTTTTCTACCTTCCTTCTTTCCTTCTTCCTTCCTTCTTTCTTTTCAACCTTCCTTCCTTCTTTCTTTTCAACCTTCCCTCCTTCCTTCCTTCCTTTTCTGCCTTCCTTCTTTTGCTCCTTCCTATGTTTCCTCCTTTTTATCCTCCCTTCTTGCTTCTCTCCTTCCCTCCATCCTTCCTATCTTCTTTCCTTGCTTCCTATCCTCCTTTCCCCCGTCATGTCTTCCGCCTTGCCCTTCTCCCTTCTTTTCACTTTTATTCGCCTCTTTCCCTATCTCTTTCCCCTTTCCTTCTTCCATCCTCCTCCCTCCTACCCTCTTCCTCCCTATCTTCCATCCTCTCCCTTTCTCCCGCTCTCCCTTTTCGCATCTCCCCCCCCCGTCCCCCCCTCTCCCCGCCCCCTTCCATCTGACTCTTTCATAATCTCTCCCCCCCCCCCCCACATCCCCCATTCCATCCCCTCCCCATGCCCCTCCATCCGCTTCTCTTCCTACCCCCCCCATCCCCTTCCCACTCCCCTTAATCCACCCGCCTCCACCCACCTCCCCGAACTCCCCTCCCATCCCCGCTCACCCCCGCCCACACCCCCGCCCACACCCCCGCCCACACCCCCGCCCACCCCCGCATCCTCGATCGCCTCTCGCTGCGCCATGATCCAGGTGCACCCGTTGACCTCACGCCCTTTCGCTGCTGGGTGGCTGGATGGCCCGCCCGCACCCCCCTCCCCCCCCACGGCACAGCTTCCTCTTACTACAGCTCATCCTTTTTCTCTTCCTCTTCCTCTTCCTCTTCCTCTTCCTCTTACTTCTTTTTTTTATCTTTCTCTTCCTACTTTTTTCTCTTTCTCTTCTTCATTTGCTTCCTCCTCCTCCTTCTCCTCCTCCTCCTCCTCCTCCTCCTCCTCCTCCTCCTCCTCCTCCTCCTCCTCCTCCTCCTCCTCCTCCTCCTCCTCCTTTTCCTCCTCCTCCTCCTCCTCCTCCTCCTCCTCCTTTTCCTCCTCCTCCTTTTCCTCCTCCTCCTTTTCCTCCTCCTCCTCCTCCTCCTCCTCTTCTTCCTCCTCCTCTTCTTCCTCCTCCTTTTCCTCCTCCTTTTCCTCCTCCTCCTTTTCCTCCTCCTTTTCCTCCTCCTCCTCCCAGCTGTCTATGGGGCGATTAAGGGCGGTGGAGAGGAGGAGGAGGAGGAGGAGGAGGAGGAGGAGGAGGAGGAGGAGGAGGAGGAGGAGGAGGAGGAGGAGGAGGAGGAGGAAGAGGAAGAAAAAAGGAGAATTAGGTTGAGCTAAAGGTATTAGGTGTGTGTTTGTGTGTTTATTGAGGAGGCTGGAAAATGAAGGAAGGAGAGGATGACAAGGGAGATGAGGATGAAAGAGGAGGAAGAGCGAAGCAGGGGAGGAGGAGGGCGAGATGAGGGCAGTTAGACACCGTAGATCCTGTAGATGAAAAGGCCACAGAGGAGGGGGAAGGAATTAGGAAGGAGGGAAGAGATAATCGTGGGTGGGGCCGTAAGAAATCCCGATTATTGGAAATTGAAGGAGAAAGTGGAGGAGGATGAAAGAGGAGAGCGGGGAGAGGGGAGAGGAGAGAGAGAGAGAGTGGGAAGGGGAGGAGAGGGGAGAGGAGAGAGAGGGAAAGGGAAGGGGGAGGAGAGGGGAGGGGGCAGATATATAACTGGTCTGCTGTTTTCCCTCTTGGTGGTGGTAGTGGGGGGGGGGATAGAGGGGTAGGATTAGGATTAAGTCGGAGGGAGAGAGAGGAAGGAGAGGGAGAGAGAGAGGGAGAGAGAGGAAGGAGAGGGAGGAAAGGAAGGAAAGGGAGCGAACGCGTGAGAGAGAGAGAGAAAGGGAGAGAGTTTGTGTGTGTGAGAGAGAGAGAGAGTGGGAGAAGGGCGAAACATCGTTATATGCTATTAATAATATTTCCTGTGTAGGTGAAAGATGAGAGGATGGGAGAGAAAAGAAAAATAAGAGCGAGAGAAGCGACGGACTATTTCCTGGTGTTCTGGATGCTCGGCACACCTTGGTAAACAGGTGTACATAGTGGGGAGGGGAGGGGAGGGGAAGGGAAGGGAGGAGAGGGGTCTGGGGAGGGATGGGGAGGGGAGAGTGGAGTGGAGGCGAGGGGAGGGGAAGGGAGGCGAGGAGAGGGGTCTTTGGAGGGGTGGGGAGTTGGAGGGGAGGGGGGAGGGTGGGGAGAAAGAGGGGAGGTTAGTTTGATCATGGGATTTGTTCAGTGTGTTATGTTATTTCTTTGTTGGTGCTGTTTGTTGTCCCTGTTTTTTTTGTTCTCGCCAGTTATTTAATGTTATTACACTATGGGTGATGTTTATTTTTATATATCCTGTTTTCTTTTACTTTTGTTTTTGGTTTAATTCTGTGTCCCTAATAGTTTGGCTGTGTTCACGGGCGCCTGTATTGCTTTGTTGTTTTTGTCTGTTCCATTTTTTATAACTTGAGCAGCAGAACAGTGCGGGCGGATATTGGGAATGGCAGGGATGGGAAGGAGGCGAAAAGAGGAAAGAGGAATGAGAAGAGAAGAGGAAATGGGGAAGTAAGAGAAAGAAGGAAAGGCGTGTTTAAGAAGGATGAAGGAGTAAGGAAAGAGGTAGATTGGAAGAAGAGGAAGAAGAGCGATAGTAGACGAAATGTGAGTAGAAGAAAGGAATAGAAAATAAAGGAAGGAAAAAAAACAGAGAGAAATAGGAAAAGAGAAACAATTGAGAGGGAAAAGGTATGAGGGAAAAGAGAAAAGAGGTGGGAGAGAGAAAGTAAAAGGAATAGAGGAAGAGAGAATGGGTGAGAGAAAAAGTAGAAGGAATAGGTGAAAAGAAGGAAAGGGTGAGAGAGAAAGAAAGTAGGAATAAAGGGAAAGAAGAAATACGGGGTGAGGGAGAAAGAAAGAATAAAGGGAGAAAACGAGGGAAGGAATGGAGGAGAAGGGAGAAGAAATAGAGGGAGAGAAGCAGGAAGGGCGTGAGAGAGAAAGTAGGAAGACACGAAGGAAGGGAAAAGGAGGAAGACGGCAAAGTTTTCCCGGGAACGAGCCTTGCAGACGCAGCTGTTTGTCTGGAAGATGCCAGGTGGATCACCCCTTCCCCCTTCTCCCCCTCCCCCCAACGTCTTTTCAGGCTCCGGAGACCCCCTCCCCATCACCCTCTCCCGTCCCCACCCCTCCTTCCCCTCCCCATCCCCCTTCCCATCCCCCTCTCCCTCCCCCTTTCCCTCCCCATCCCCCTTCCCATCCCCCTTTCCCTCCCCATCCCCCCTCTCCCTCCCCATCCCCCTCTCCCTCCCCCCCTCTCTCTCTCCCCCTCTCCCTCCCCCTCTCTCTCTCCCCCTCTCCTCCCCCCACCTCACCTCTCCTTTCCTTTCCCTTTTACTTCTTCGCCCTCACCCCCCCTCTTCCCTCTCCTTTTGCCTCTACTGTTCTTTAAGCTCCTTTCCTTTTTTCCCTCCATTCCGCTTTCAGCTCATCTGTTTCTTTCCTTTTCGAGCTTCCTATTCACGCTCCTTCCCTTCTGCTTCCTTCCTTATCTACTTCCCCTTTTTCGTCATCCCTATTCCTGTCCCCTCCTTTCTCGTCCATCCGTCTTCTTGCTCACCCTGCCTCTCCCTCTCCCACTTCCTTCCCCTCTCCCTCTTCCTTCTCATCTCCCTCTTCCTTCCCCTCTCCTTCTTCCTTCTCATCTCCCTCTTCCTCCCCCTCTCCCTCTTCCTTTCCCTCTCCCTCTTCCTTCCCCTCTCCCTCTTCCTTCTCATCTCCCTCTTCCTTCCCCTCTCCCTCCCCCTCTCCCTCTCCCTCTCCTTCTCCCTCTCCCACCCCCCTCTCCCTCTCCCTCCCCCTCTCCCTCCGTCTCACTCTCCCTCTCCCTCTCCC